CTCCCATACAAAACTGAATTTAAACCTACCAAGCAAATCAGAAATCTCATTCTCAGGTATTTACTCAAATTATCTTTGATCCATTTGGACTTGATTTTTGTACATGACAATAGATATGAATCTATTTGCATTCTTTTACATGTTGATCCCAGTTATGCTAGCCCCATTTGTTGAATACACTTTCTTTTTATCATTTAATATTTTTAGGTTCTTTGCCGAAAATCAGGTGTTTATAGGTGTGTGGGTTGTTATCCAGGTCTTCAATTAGATCCCATTGATCCTCCTTTCTGTTTTATACTATCCCAGGCTATTTTCAATACTGAAGCACTATAGTAGAGTTCGAAGTCAGAGAAGGTGATGCCTCTAGAAGTTCCTTTAATGTAAAGGATTGTTTTGGCTATTCTGGTTTTGTTTTTTTTTTTTTTTTTTTTTATGAGGTTTAGTATTGTCTTTTTGAGGTCTGTGAAGATATTGCTGCAATTTTGGTGGGCATTGCGTTGAAACTGTAGACTGCTTTTGGTAAGATTGTCATATTTACTATGTTAACTCTACCTACACAAGAGCATGGGAGATGTTTCCATTTTCTGGTGTCTTCATTAGTTTCTTCCTTCAAAGATTTAAAGTTCTTGTCATACAGATCTTTCCCTTGTTTGATTAGCGTTACCCCAAGTTGTTTTATATTATTTGTGACTATTGTGAAGGGTAATGTTTCTATGATTTCTTTCTTAAGTACATTTATCCTACATATAAAGGAAGACTACTGATGTTTTTGAGTTAATCTTGTATCCTGTTACATTACTGAAGGTGTTTATGAGTTGTAGGAGTTTCCTGATAGAGATTTTGAGGTTACTTATATATACTGTCATATAAGAAGTAAATAATGAAAGTTTGATTTTTTTTCTGATTGTTAATCCTTTAATCTACTTTTGTTTTCTTGTTGCTTTGGCAAGAACTTCAAGTACTATATTGAACAGACATGAAGAGAGTGGAGACCACTTCCTAAATATAACCCAAGTACCACAGACCCTAAGAGTAACAATTAATAAATAGCCCTCTTGAAACTGAGAAGCTTCAGCAAGGCAAAGGACAAATGACAAGACAAAACAGCAGCCTACAGAATGGGCAAAGACCTTTACCCGCTCCGCATTGAACAGAGGACTGTTATCCAAAATATACAAAGAATTGAAGAAATTTGACATCAAAAGAACAAATAATCCAAAAAAAAGTACAGACATAAACAGAGAATTCTCAACAGATGAATCCTAAATGCCTGAAAATGTTCAACATTTTTAGCCATCAGAGAAATGCAAATCAAAACAACTCTGAGATTCCATCTTACACCTGTCAGAATGTCCAAGATGAAAAGTACTAATGAACGCTTATACTGGAGAGGATGTGGGGTAAAGGGAATACTCCTCCACTCCTCCATTGCTGGTGGGAGTGAAAGCTTGTACAGGGGCTTTGGAAATCAGTACGGTGATTTTTTAGAAAATTAGAAAACAATCCGCAACAAGACACAGCAATAACACTTTTATGTATATAACCAAAGGATGCTCAATCATACCACAAGGACATGTGCTTAATTATGTTCATAGCAGCATTATTCGTAATAGCCATAACCTGGAAACAACCTATATGCCTCTCAACCAAAGAATGGGTAAAGAGAATGTGATACCCTCACGTAATAAAATACACATCAGAGGTAAAAAAAAAAAAAAGATATCTTGAAAGTTTTAAGAAAATAGATGAATCTAGATAAAACCGTATAGAATGAGTACCCACATCTCAGAAAGATTAAATATAATATGTACTTACTGATAAGTGGCTCTTAGTCATAAAGCAAAGAGAAGTCAGCCTACAGTCCACAATCCAAGAGGACCTAGAAAACAAAGAGGACCTTAAGGGAGACGTACATGGAAATACATAGGAAGCAGTAAAAGACAAGGTCTCTTGAGTAAATTGGGAGTGTGGGGGTCATGGGATATGGTCATGTGGTCAGTGGGGAGCTCAACTAAAACAATAAAAATAATGAGAAAAATATGTTCATGCAAAAGCCTGACTTTGAATGCCACCAACAGTGGAAGAGCACAAAATGAGGGCTGGTAGATCAGGAGAGAAAAGTGTGAAGCAAAAAAATAAATAAATAAATAAATAAATCCCTTAGTAAAAACTGAATATGTTGTTTGCTAAAGTAATATCAATTTTAAAAATTAAGGGAAGATTTAAAATTGTATTGTAAGCAAAATTCCATAATTTTTTCTTTACAGAGTTTTACCTAGAAAGTAGCTATCAAAGTAAAGTCTACGGACAATATGGTGACAAATAAAAGATGGAAGGATCTCAAGAGCTCAAGGTGAAACATGTATGGGGGATTGCGAGATATTTTTACATCACATGCTATATGCTATTCTAACGTGCACAAGATAACACTCATTTTTCCAATCACAGATTGTGAAATACGGAACCTGATCCAGAAAATAATCCATAAATATTTTAAATAATTTTCTATTAAAATTCCTTCTTCAATTTCAATAGACTAAACATGTGTTGCCGTAAGGCAAAGAGTCGTGTACGAACTTCTACAGGCCAGAAGAGATGACTTAGCAGTTACAGGTAAATATTGTTCTTACAAGGACTAGACTTCTTTTCCATGTTCACAACTCCTTTACGTCTGCCTTCTGAGGTGTCTGTTCTTCTGGTCTCTGGGTACTCTGCTCACATGCACAAACCCATTCTCACACAAATGACTCAAAATACTTCTATATGTTACTAATGATCTACACAGCTCAATAACTTTAAGAAGTGAACTAGTGAAGTGCTGGAGTGAAGGGGCGCCATGGGTCCACCACCAGAGACAGACATGCTGAAACTTTGCTGGTAGATGATACACAGATTAATGAAATTGGGTTAAATTTATATGTATGAGTTAGCCAATAAGAAGTTAGAGCTAATAGGCCACGCAGTGATTTAACTGATACAGTTTCTGTGTGGTTATTTTGGGGATAAGCTTGCTTGGTGGCTGGGACAAACAAGCAGGCCCTTCACCAACATTGGAGAGATGGACAAGCTGGTAAGGGCACTCCCTGCTCTTGCATGGGACCTCCATTTGGTTCTAAGCATGCACAACAAGTGACTTTCACTTGCCTCTCACTGTGGTTGCAGAAGACCCAAACCCTCTTCTGAAACCAGTGGGCACCTGCACTGAAGTACATGCAGCCAAGCAGGCATACATATATACACACAAATATAAAATTAGATTAATAAAAACATGAGCACAAATGAGTTTTTGTAACTAGGAAGAGAACTGATTTTTATTGTTATTCTTAAAGTAGACAAGAAAAATAAGGCTAGAAAAATATGCATCCTTTGAAAATTCATTTAACATTATTATAACTGTGTCTCATTAGAATGAAGATTCTAGTTCATCATTGACACTTTTTATCAGATTTTAGGATAATTATAAATTTTATTAATTTTCTGGTGTCAGGTATGTAATGAGTCATGGTTAATTGAATTATCAATATTATAAATCAACTAAGAAAATTGAGGCACATTGCATTCAGAACTACTTCATTTATATAAAATAAAAAGATTAGCTGCAAATTTTATTTGTTTTTCATTTTCTTATATGTTAAACTTAAGCAATTATTACAGATTAATACATTTGATTTTACAATTTTCATAATTGAAGCTATGACTTTCCATATCATTTTTCTTTCTGTACTTTTTTATTATTACTGATATTATATTACTGGGAAGGTTATGATACTATATTTTACATTTTGAAATCATTTTTTGCACAAACTTTGAGAAGAGCATACTTTGGTTCTTCTAATCTTTAAATTATAGTGTGTGTGTGTGTGTGTTAGGTGCTGGAATGAACATGGAGGACAGAGGGCAATTTGTAATCTTAGTTTCCTCTTCTTATCACGTGGATTCTGGGGCTCTTGCTCAGGTTGTTAATGTTAGGCTTGGCTATAGTTTCTTTTCACAGAATCATCTGGCTGGCCCAAGGCTAAAATGAATCTTTTTACACTTACTATTTCTGCAAGTTTCTTTCATTTTACTTCCTTTACAAACTAATAATTGTCACTGATAACTTGTATTAATAATAGTGTCTATTAATAATATTGTGTCTAGTTCATCACTTTACAACTACAATTTTGTGTGTTTGTTTTGGTTCAAACAATTCATGGTCAACACAGAATTTTCTCTTCATATGTGTCACATGTATCATTCTCTCAAGTTATCACATTTTGTACTAACACACACAAACACACATACATATACACACATATATACATAGATATGTATATAATTATTTACATATACACATGAATTACATATATATATATAGAGAGAGAGAGAATTTTTTGCACGTTTGAAGGCTACTATTCAAATAGATCCCAGTTTGTCTTTGATGTGGTCACATGGTTAAAACACATTCTGTTCTGTTTCCCATTCTTGGCTACTGTCCTTAAGTCTGTCACGAAGTGAAACTCATCCTACAAGTATATTCATACATATGCAATGACCTTAACTGTAGGCAGAATTAAAATGTGTTATATAATACTTGGCAGTTTTATAATTCGTCCTATAAGGTGTCACTATGCCGAAGTATAATATATATGAATGCGAGCCAGTATGTAATAGGTTTGGAGATTACTGTACCCAGAATCGGGAGATAATGAAAACACTCTGTTCTTCTTTTGCTTTGGAATTTCAGATAAGAGTACTCATAAGTAGCAGAGATAAAAGGAGAAAGCAAGACATAATTCAAATGCAAAAGGCAATGCCCTTCTCTGCAGCAGTCCTCAATAGTGTTATATATAGAAATCAGATCAGTCATTGTTTTCGAGCCTGCTAAATAAAACTAGACTGCTGGAATGGCATGCCACTTGACCTCTGGGGACTCCCGCAGCAGTATTTAACGGGTGCACAGGGAGCTCTCCTGCAAGTGGCTCCTGTTTACATGCCAGATTCCCCTGCTAGTTCACACAATGTTCAAAAGGCACAAGTCCCTGGAGCGCAAGAGGGAATTTTTATTCCAGGGACTTCCACAGTCCACAATGAAGAATAATACAAGAAATTTCCACTCTCTCTCACAACTTGTACTCTCAGCAGGCCCGCTAAAGACAACCCGAGCACTCAAACTTTCTAAAACAACTCACTTTGAGATTGAAATACTGGATGCTCATACAAGAAAACAGATATGTGTTGTGGATAAGGTAAGCTTTATTTATCTTTTTAAATGTTTCTTCTTAGGCACAAATTACTGACTGCTGATTTAGCCAACAGAACTTTAATAAATGCATTTCTAATTTTTTACATAGTTTTATGAGTTAACAAAAAGATGCCTTATTTACCGTCACAGCAAGAAACATGTCTACATTTTCATATGTGCTTCAAAATAATCATTTAATTAGTATCTTACTTCATTTCCTGCTCTGTTGTCCATAATCTAGGAGCAAACATTTAGAACAAAACATAAATTGCATAGATACTTTTCTTCATGCTTTATAGCAATAAAATGTATATCATTTAACAGTGTCTGTAAAAACCAGGAAGAGCACAAAAGTTAAAAAGTATTTATCATGTATCTAAAACGTAGGCATTTTGTTTTGAGTGGTTTGCTTTGCTAAAAGTTCCACCTTTTGAAAACACAGTCTTCAAATTCTTGAAGAGTATAGCTTAGTTAATAAGCCAATCTCCCCACATCTGCATATACAGATGTTTCACAAAGAATGATGAATTCTGAATATGTTAGATTAGAAAATTATGGCGTGAACCCTGGAGACACAAGTACATTAATCACACACCAATATGTTTCTCCTAATATTATAAGACAATAACTTTAATTGATTGCAAGAGTGATGTTGTCCATAAAATATTTATTGTTTTATAGAAACAAATATTTGTTGTTTGTCCAAACAAAGTCTCCAATAAGTTGCTCCATTTAACCAAGTTGCAGGTGGGCTGCCGGATAAACACTGTTCACTGCTCTTTGTAGCTGTCTCAAACATTATATATTTTCAAACTTAGTAGCTATAATATTATAGGCAACTTACTAGTTGAACAACTTTATTTACTTTTAGGTAAAAAATTCATGTTAAGTTGTTGCATTTTAATTCAGATCACAGGTAACACAGAGGAGACTCCAATAATCTATTTGCATATAATTGCATATCATATACATCCGTACTTCTGTAAGTGATGACTATGTTTTATGTAAAGGAAAATTTGATACATAGATTTCATATAATACGTTTCTGTTTAATATAAGTGTATTTTGTTTGCTTTGTGAAACAGTGTTTTCAGGAATGAGAAAACTGTAAACACTTTAAGCCTTGCCAAAGACAGCTGACATTTGCAATATTTTACTATCCAAATGTCTGAATGTGTTAAAAGTGCAGAAGAGAGATAAAGCAAAGAACAAAATGGAAGGGGAAAAGTTAAGAACTTATACCTTAAATAATAAGAAATCAAACACTTCTTAATTATTTTTTCATACTTAATATTTTATGTGAGAAAATGACAATAAATTTCACTTGGATAAAATTAAATTGGAAAAAAATGAAAAAATCTGAAAGCTACTATCTTAAGAATTTCACACTTCAACTCTAAATATCCTTGATTTGCTTCTGTAGTGGTAAAATATTACAGAAATAGCTATACTTCATCCATTGTAGCCCTGTTCTTTTATTCTTTTTTTCTTTCTTATGCGAGATACAACCTAGATCAGAGAATGTGTTATGTCAGCCACCTCCTACAAACTGACACCTCCTTTCAAGCTATAAGATTTTGAAATATTGAATTAATTTCTGCTTTTACATTGAGGAGTTCCTTTTTGTTCTTTTGTCTTCTTTTGAAATTTTTATTTAATAATTTGGTGAATGTCCCATATTGATGAAGGTACTTGAGAGAAAAAGAGATATGAATGAATTTGAATTTTTATGATTTTTATTAATTTTTATCATAATAAAGACTATTTTTTCTGTTAGATTTATGTATTATTGTCTTTCTCATGAAAATTCTGGGGTACGATATGTCTCATTTCCTCTATTGCTTTTTTCAAGTGTTCATATTGTCAGTGCTCCTCCCCTCTTATTTGATCCAAATTATTTCACTGGCTCTTTTTCTTCCTCATTTCTTAGAACTGAAACTCACTGAATTGCCAGTGCACAGTGACAAAGACTGCAGAACCCCAGTCCTCACTACCATACTGTCACGGTGGTTTTGCAGCATGTTCTGTTATTATTAATCAATTAGAAATAATCTCAAGACATTTGTGTTGAATTACAAAGTTATTTTATCCTATAATATTTCTGTGACTACTTTTTATCTCTGCTAATTCATCATCTCATGCGTTAGGTATTTATTATCAAACCTATCAGCCATCTATCATCATCATCTTCTCCATCATTTTCTGTCTATCTGCATCTTTTATAGTCATACTTAATTTGGTATATCTGAAGCAGATAGTATATGGGACTTCTTAGAATAGTGCCTTAAATCTAATATGAACTAAATTATTTTAATTGTTCTCGTGATTTGGAGAGAAAATGTTTGTGCAAATAAACTCTAAGGAAAAAAGGCTAGCAAATTTAATTTTATTAAGATTAATGATTTGAGGGCTGGAGAGATGGCTCAGTGGTTAAAAGCATTGCCTGCTCTCCCAAAGGTCCTGAGTTCAATTCCCAGCAACCACATGGTGGCTCACAACCATCTGTAATGAGATCTGGTGCCGTCTTCTGGCCTGAAGGCGGACACAATACCGTATACATAATAAATAAATAAATCTTTTAAAAAAAAGATTAATGATTCGATACTACTTTTGGTATCTTTAGTTTACAATTAGCGTTTTCAAATACCACAAGTGGACTCTATGTTGATCTTCTGCTAATTAGCTTCCATGGAGATCTCCAAGTTTGTAAATGGAAACTGCCCTCCAAATAAATCTCCTGACACTTGTGGGAGTTGTGACTCATCTCCTAATCTCATGCTCCACACACAATCAATCTTCTTGACAACACCTTCAAAGTATACCCCTGCGCTGACAAATCCCTGCAGCCTCTACTGCCAGCATGCTTACATCTTCACCCTGCATCATCATTATCACCTGCAGTGGATTCCCTACGTGGAAACCTGAGCTAGCTGTTAAATCCTGTCAGATAATACACTCCACCTGGCAACTGGGCCATGCCTTCCTTTCCGTTTTTAATCTCTCACATTTTCCCACAGGCTCTTTCTGACTGGTGAACCTTCAATCTGTGCCAACATGTTTTTTATTTATTTTTTCATTTTCTACAAATGTTGCTGTATAACATTTTAGTTTTGTTGTTGTTGTTGTTTTATTTGGTCTGACTGTAGTATCTTGGATTCACAAAGCCAGAGGTTTTATTGTTTATTTCACTCCAACATCTTCTGCATTTAGAACAATGCTCGGCACAGTTTTAGTCAATCAATATGCGTTTAGTAAATGACACCTATTCAAAATGAGAGACTGGAAATTGCTGTCTTATTCTAATGTGATAGTTTGAAATTAAAGTGGTATAACAAAAGAATAATCATTTCCTATTTTCTAAATCAAGCTGTAAGCAAAGTATATGTAAATCTATTCCCATACAAAGATATTGCTTCAAATCATTCTATTAAATGAAGTATGCCTCCTTATTTTCCCAAAGATGGTTAGATATAATTTACCTTTAAATTAATGTATAATTAACCAGTAGACTATTTTATTCTGATGACAAAGTCTATCTTGATTTCAATGAAACAGCCAAGTACTTTTATTTAATGACATATTTTTATGAATGACTAAAATAATAGAAGTAATTAATAATGATAAAAGATGCAATTTCAAATACATTAAGTATCATTTCTAGGAAATTACTGGGACATCAAAATCTAAGAGCCTGCATGAAAATATATTTGAAGTAAATAGTGAATTATGAACACTTCGCTCCTGTCATTGTCTCCTGTATTTAAAAATATCACAAGCTTATCTGCTGCTAAGTCACATATTCAAGAGCAGAGCCAGGATAAAGCACACTGAAAGTGATCCGTCTTCCTGTATCCTCCCATTCTCTTTTATTTGATCTTTGTTCAAAGGAACATGAGGTCCTTTATTTTATTCTTTTGTTTACTCTTTGCCCCCAACAGAAGCTTTCGAAAAATTTTATAGAAATTAAGGGCTAACACACCACAGACACATCACCACCATGGTCCACAAATGAGTTAGTGTTCAACAGTAGACACAATAATAGAATTAGATCACCTTAATTTAGTCAGTCAGTGGTGGTACATGCCTTTAATCAGCATTTGGGAAGCAGATGCAGGATCTCTGTGAGTTAGAGGACAACCTGGGCTACTAGAGCTAGTTCCAGGACAACAAGGGCTACATAGAGAAACCCTGTCTCAAAACACCACCACCAAAAACAAAACAACCAAAAAAAAAACAAAAAACAAAAAACAAAAACTGTGCCTTTAAATAATATCCAGAAATTCTGAAAATTCTTAGCTGTGGATAGCAACACTTTAAATACTTCTTTTAAATTATAACCAGCATGCTAGTTTCTTAAGTTATTCTGCTCTAACATGGCTATAACTTTTTTCTTACGCTGACTTTGCCTTTTCTTTCTCTGAAATTTCACATTTCAAACTAAAAGACTGCTGTTTTTTTTTTTCATCCACCTTTTATCAGCATCCCCAACATTCTACCTGTTTCTTCCAAGCTTAGTCCTTTCTGTTTTATTGTAAATTCTATTTTCTGTCGGAAACCAGATTTGGCAAAAAATACCACTTACCTTGGTAGTCCTAGTGCTTTATTATTGAGTATAATCAGCTTTGCTTTATCTGCAAAAATCTCCAAAATTTGTTAATCTTTACAACTATTTAATTTCTTTTTTAAATTCGGTCTTAAACCTATTGACCCACCAACATCTTTCTTTCTCCTTTAGCCCATTCCCCAAATGGATTGCCTCCATTAGTTTAATTATTATATATCAACTATTGTGTGAATTAAAAAAAAAACTTAACCAACACAGATGCACATGAGCTAAGTAGATGCTGATATTTATGCTAAACACATTAAAACTCTTTGGGTTGTCAAGCTGCATGTAGCTATGCGAAATTTATGTGCTCCGATGCCCTAATTTTATAGTACTAGAAGCACAGAAATGACTGAATTTTGAAATTGTATATTATGCTTGAACTTGTATAATGAAATCACAAAAAAATCCTTGTAGTTACAAATTTTCCACAATTATGAATCTTTACCTTTGTTTTTTTATATATAAAATGAATTTTAATTCATTTTATATATCAAGTACAGTCCCCCTCTCTTCCTTCCTTACCCTCTTCCCTCCTCTGCCAGTCCACCCTCATCCACTCATCAGAAAGGGTAAGGCCTCTGCATGTAGGTGACTGTTGTATAGCCTGATCAGACTCCCAAAAGTGAGACCAGCATCTATCCTTGGTGCATGAGTTTGTTTTTTGAACCAGTTCCCCATGGTGGGATGCCTTGCTCAGTCTTGATACGGAGGGAATGGATTTGGTCCTGCCTCAGCTGAAAGTGCCAGGCTTTGTTGACTCCCCATCAAGGCCATTGACAGTGACCCTTGGCTTCACCGAGTAACTTTGTAAAAATTAAACATTTTCTAGTTAAATTATTATGTAAAGGTATATTCATTAAGTTTGTTGAATTGCCTATTTTCAAGTACCCTCAGAATTCTTTGCAGTTCCATAATCCTAAAGGCTGTTATTTCCTTTTTGTGTTTCCATTCCTTTCCTTTTTCTTTTCTTCTTACCTCCTTATATACACTTTCTTCAACATGTTTGTCCCTCTATTTTAATGGGTTATACATTGTGTATTTTATCACCCATGGATTAAGAAATTAAAATAAGAGATTCTGTACAGTACATCTATTGTATATCTGCAGTATCTTTATTCTTATTGTTATTCTCTAAAAGCTAAAGCATACTAATTGTTTACATACCATTTGCCATGTATTAGGTATTTAAAGCAACTGAATGATGGATCAAAGGAAATGAGAGGAAGTGCCTGAGATCGCTGTGAACATCGTATCCATTTGATATAAATCCTGGACATCAATGCATAATAATATGTGAGGAAATTCCTGAATTTTAGGAAGACTTCCAGTAGTGAGCCACTCTCCCAGACCTTAACATGAAAAATCACACCCAACCAAAGATATTTCATACTCTTCAAATAATTTTATTTTTATAAGTGTTCATTCTGTACAAATAGTTTGACACAAGTAATCATAACACAAGCTTTTTTTTTTTAAGAAGTATGGAAAAGAAACTGGGTTAGTTCAGGTAGAAATTTTTTGTTTTTCTTTTGGACTGGGTGGAGCTAAGGATAAAGCCCAGGACCTTTTGCTTGTTAGGCAAGTCCTCTACCATTTTTTTTTAGAGGAAATTTAGGATAGCTATAGAAATCTCTTCCACTCAATGTGTCCAAAGGGAGGATTATCACGCTGGTGTCTCTGACAGTAATGGCAGTTTCCCAAATCAACAGTTATCTCCTCTAAGTACACTACCTTGTTGTTCCTTCAGACTTCGAAAGAAGCTGTAATGCCAGAGAACCACTGTAGAGGAGTTTAGACAGGAAAGCCAGCTAGGTGTTGTTACCCACTTCAGTTTCCCACTTGCAAACTTCTCGGGCTCCAAGCACTAGGATATCAGGTTTTATTGGTGGATTTTCAAACTGAAGGTCATTAAATAATCCCTGTTGATCTTCTGGGATTTAAAGAAGTAACCTGAACCCACCCATCTTTTGTAGCAAGATGTCTATGAATATCACATGCTCTCTTTTCGAGGGATTTATTTGCAACGGTATGGGCATCTGGTATTATTTCTTTTGAGCAAAGGAATGCCGTACTTCTGTTTCTTTTCACTTTAATAAAACAAGAGTTAACTGACCTTCTGTCTTGTGGCCATTTAATTTTTCGTACTGTGTGCTTTTATAGCTTCTAAAATAAATACTTAAAATTTCTGTTTCAAGGCTTATAACACTCCTATCATTAATTATGTGATTTTAAAACTCATACTCTAACATTAGTAATTTCTTCTAGCAAAGCATTTGATAAATTGCTGTCTTAATGAGTTCCTTGTTTGTCTAGATAGGTCTACGTATTGCTGAGCACAGATTTATTACCTCCTTGGCAGTTATATATCACCAAATGTAAGCTAGTAATAATCTGAACTTAATTTAATCAGAGTTTAAAACCAAGTCAATGCAAAGGTGATGCTAACTCTACTCTGAAGATGGGAAAACTTCAAAAATCAAAAATAATTTAATTTGTATTACATTGTTCTATTCTGGTTTTTATTGTTCTCAGTTTTAAGCTATACTTCTAGTGAAATTTTCACATAATCTTTAAAGTGTACAAGAGCATTCTCCCACAGCATTTTTTTTAGACACAAGAATTCTGAATCTAGTCTTCTTTCATTTTTTTTGACCATTGTCTATAAAAACTTGTAACCAACACTCTAATCAAAGACAAACATCCACAATCCTTTTTTGGGGGGGAGGGTGGGGGAGAATATAGGTGTAGTTTTTTAGGCTACTTCTTGCTGATTGGGGGCACTGATAATCTTGTGGGGAACCCCAAAAGAAATTAAGATTATGGTAAATCCTGACTGGATTTTCCTGTGAAGCTGGATAATCTCAGCCATTAGCCTTCAAGCTGTTCTAGATACAAAACTCAGAAGAAACTCTAACACTGTGATAAGTGCTCATTAAGATGTGTTTGGAAGGCTTATTTGTAAGTGTAATAATGAGCGGCGAAAGGGATTTTGAGCTCAGATCTTTGAGATGAATAAAAAGTTCAGAAATACTATGATGACTTGATTGTTAAGATGAAACTGTTTGCTTCAATGATTTTCCAATGTATATAAATAAAACCAAGTTGAATTCATTTTTAAAGTGAGATATTTTCAGTAACTACAGCTAAAAGATTGTCAACCTTCTATACAATGCACCTTCTATATGTTTTGTGCACTTTTAGTATATTCAGTTGAGAGTTTGAATAAAACATTTAGCATACAGTCACTAATGAGATCATGTAAATGACTTATCTCATAATAGTCCTATGTATTCAATTTTTTTTTATTCTACCTCCTCTATGACTCAATTCACATCCTCCAGCACCTGTCTCTCAATAAGTCCTTTTACTTTTGAGAATAGATACATTTTTAATCAATATTGTCTCAATGGCTGAAGATAAAAACCAAAGGTTTTGAACAAATAAAGTTTTTAAAAATATACTTTAGAGGAATATGTTGATTGGAATTAGACTACTATTGCTTTATACAAATATTTTTTTCAGTATCATATCATTGTTATAATACTTGTTAAAGTAGAATTTAACAGTTATTCAAATTATAATTTTGCAGATATATTACTGCTGTTAACATTTTGTCTTAAATATTTGTATAGCAGAAATTACGTTTTTCTTATAATTGTATTTCGCTTTTTCAGGTACCTCAAACATCAACTATCCATGATGTCAAACAAAAATTTCACAAAGTGTGTAAGTATTTTTATCTATGAAAATCTATGTCAATTTATTTTCAAATTGGCTCAAATTTGTCTTTAAGAGGATGGTTTGTCTATGGAACAAGTATACAAAAGCCATGTTTTGAAACAGATATCATTAATATTCTATACTTAGTAATTCTTGAATAAAATAATTATCTCACTTCACACTCTTATTGATGCATTCAGCAGATTTTTGTCAGTACTGGGGAAGGTGCTTCATTCCAAATGCTCAGGATCCATGTGCTTAGCCACTAAACTGTATCCTAAGAACAATCCAACTTGAGGTTTAATATAATGCCTTGTGGTTTAATATATTTCATTAGATTTCTGACCTTGTATTCACCTTTAAGATGTATATTTAGTTTTTTTTTATTCAAGAGAACCATGTGAGTTGGGAAAATATTTTAATTCATAATTTATTATGTTGAGCTATTAGATAAAGTTTGAGGGTAAAACCAATTAATAAATTATTTTAGAAAAAATAGAAAATATTTATTGATATACAAATTTATATATAATCATTCTATGGTATAGCTATATAGCAATGTATGGAATAGCAAAGTGGCAATGTAAGCAGTAACATCATATGTATAAAAGAAGACCTATATAGACTATTCACTATGCATTTTAAGGAACAAAATATGTAACAAGAAACAGCAATTAGTGAATACAGCCAAAATATGCAAATGTGTTTTGGGGATTTCCTTATAATGTGTTGTTGAGAAGCATATACAATGAGGAACATGATTATTGAAAAACTTTAGCATCTAAGTTGCTTTGGAAAGGTAAGTTCTGATGTTTTGCCTTCTAGACATTAGGTTTGAATATGCTGAAAGGAGTGGATAGGGCATTCTGCCAAATCCAAGAACAAAGTAAGGTATGTTCCCATAGCATTCCGAGATTCATCATTATAGCACTAAATTGAGAGTGAAAGTCTCTGTCATTGTGTGTCAATGTTTTTGCAAAACATAAAATTTCTTAAGCATTTGTCTTTTAAACCATGAAATATTTAAATATCAGATGTGCTAGTACGTGCCTTTAAATCCTTTAAATAAACTTATTACTCTTAAGTTCTAAGCCACACTGAGCTACATTGTAAGAAAGTAGAGAAAAATTATTTTTTTATCTAATCATATAATGTATGCAGATAATTACCCTGATTATTCACATAATATTTCTGGGTTATTTCTACTTAATGTACATTTATTTAGAGGTAGTACAATTTTAGCAGAAAGTACATGTCACATTAAACTGGTAATTGGAATGCTAAACTTTAGAATGTCAGAAGTTCAGACAGAAGGAAGTATAGTAATTAAGGAAGAATACATTTGAAAGTGACTTAAAAATAAGAAGAATTTGTACAGTATTTGAGAAATACCCAATTGGCAAAAGTGTGATCACATTTAATAAGATTTGAGTTTTATGAACAGCTGTTAATTAATTTTTCACACTCACAGTTTTAATATTTAGCAGGTTATATTACAATATATTATACTAAACAATAAAATACTTTTATTTATACAGTGCTTTTTTATTTAAATATTGAAAACTATTTTCTAAATTTTTTATTTGTACTATATTACAAAATTTTGACTGTTTTCAGTTTTTATAAATTGTTCTATTATATAAGAAAATATTAAGGAACCATTTCAATGCTGTGTTAAGTTTAATATGTTTTCAAAAATTAAAACATATTAAAATGTTATTTACACGGTTCATCTGTGATGATTTTTGAAGTCATAAGACAAAAAAGTTATTTATTTATTGGTTTATGTTTTACACTCATAATTTAAAATAGATATTATACATACTTCCTTAATTAAATATATGATAGAAAATAATTTTATGCATGCAAATCCACTAACTTCACAGCTTACCAACTTTATATTCTGATACTAAATTAACTTCTTATCATGCCTTCAGGCCTTCGAGTTTAAAATTCAAATTACTAATGTCATAAATAAGTAAATGAATAAATAAACTATTCCTCACAGGAAACAATGTCTCTAAAAGGAAAACTTCTTTTTTTAATCTTAACTCATTACAATGTTTACTGTGCAACAGATTTTCATTATAATATCTCTATACATTCATATGGTATACATTTAAACCAATAATTACTTCTCTATTAGTATTTGTTTCACTCCTGCTTTTTCCATCTTGTGGGAAACTTGTTTACACTATGTGAAGATGTGTCACTGTCATTGGTTTAAATAAAAGCTGAATGGCCAATACTACGTAGGAGAGGTTAAGGGGGGAACTTCCAGGCAGAGAGAAGAATTCAGACATAATCTAAGTGCTAGGACTGGGCAGGTGGCCCAGAGGTTAAACGCACAGGCTGTTCTTCCAGAGGTCCTGGCAGAAAGGCATATGTGCAGGTAGATCACTGTATTTGTAATGCATAAAGAAATCTTTAAAGAAAGAATCTAGGTGCTTGAGAAACGCCAGGAAGATACAGAGAGAGGTGGACATACAGAATGAAAGAGAGTTAAAGAACCACACAGCAAAATGTAGATTAATAAAAGCAGCTTAATTTGAGTTATAAGAGCTAGACGGACACAAACTTATACTGAAGGCCAAGCTTTCATTGTTAATAATAAATCTTGGTATCACTATCGTGGAGCTGGCGGTTCCAAAGACAGTCCTACTACAATCTCTCTTTTTGTTTCTTCCCTTTGCTTCTCTCCTTCCCCCTCTCCCTCCCTCCCTCCCTCCCTCCCAGCCAGACCCTTCCTCCTTCTACCCCACCCCTTTCTCCCACACACATATATTAAACAGCACACATGACATTTGTGCTTCTGGGATTGACTTATTTCACAAATATATTGATCCTTAGTTCCATTCGTTTCCTGCAATTTTCATATTATGTTTTGCCAAGTAAAATTTCAGTGTGTATGTAGCACATTTTCTTCATTGTTGCGATGGTCAATGAGAATCTAGAGTGATTCCCCTACTTGGTTATTGGAATAAAGTCACAATAAATGTGCATGCGCAGAACACTCTTTACCCTTTGGAGTAAGCATGCATAAATGGTGTATGTGGTTGTTATGACTGCTGCTCTCTCTCTTTCCAATACATATGTATGTATGTATGAATGTATCTGTCTGTCTGTCTGTCTCTCTTTCTATCTATAACATAAATAGGACATAAAGTTTCTTTTCTTCTTACATAATGGTAGAATTTTTTTTTTTTTTGAACTTAGTTTTGGTCAGGATGAGACAGAATCTGAATGTAGCTTCGGTTTGTATTTCCCTGATGGTGATTAATGATGTTCAGTAGATTAACTCTACTAGACTAATTTTAGGATTATGTTCTTTCTTTCTCATATTTGCTATTTTATTTTCTGATTCCTTATTTTTGTCTCTGTGGGCTTTCCAGATTCAGGATATAAAATTCACTATGACTCAAAATAACTGAAAAATGAAATATACCCAAATTTTCTGCTACCATCTCATTATTTTAATGTGCTTATTGTATCAAGCTCTGTTTAGCATGCTCAATTTTAAGCTTATTGATAATCTTTCTTTTAATTTCAACTTGCTTATTTAGTGATTAAATTCAACTAGTCACTCTTGATTTTGCGGTCATAATGAAAAATTATCTCTCATATTCTATGTCAAATTTACAGGATATTTACTAATTTTGATTCTTTTGCTTGTTCCAATTCTTCTCACTGCGTCCGTCTGACAAGCGAAATTCCCACCTTTGTAATGGACAGGTCTATTTTCTCACTTCCATGTCTATCATTACATACTGTTTATTCCCTTTTCTTCCCAACGCCATCTTCATGGTTTTTATTTTTGTGGTTGTATATGTATATGTGTTACAAATGCCCAATGCTGTTCTCATACTCTGTTTTTTTTTTTTTTTTTTTTTTTTTTTTTTTTTTTTT